CCAAGGGGCTGAAGGAAATTCGTATAGACGAGGAGGTGAAGATCGCAGTCAACATCGCCCTGGAGCGCTTCCGGTACGGGGACCAGCGAGGTGAGTTTTTTGACGGGGACCCCGCGGGCCGTCGCCCCTAGCGCCCCCAGCCCCGCAGCGGGAGGGGAGCCCGGGCCTGAGCCAAGTTGGCCTTCGGGTGGGATGTGAAGGTCCGCAAGGTTCTTGGGGGTCTGCGGGGTTCGGGGCATCTGCTTGGCAGCAGGAATAAGGTCAGGTTGCTCCAAGCGGTACCTTTTCTTACCCAGGTTTTTCAGCAGCTTTGGGCGGCTAAGTCAGTGGGTCAGCCGCTATAGGCGTTGCCTTAAATGTGGTGCGTTTAAGCGACAGATGTAAAAACATGGAAGAAAATAAGATATATAAGCGTAGTAACAATATGTAGTGGTGTGTTTAAATCTTCGAAGCAGCAGGCCAAACACTTAGACAAATTATATTATCTTGGCTTACAAAGGGTGTTCTGCTCCTTTATAGTTAGAAAGCTACTTGTCACATAATAACGTAGTAGGAGACCAGCCTCAGCTATATGAAACAGCAAATCCAGCCTGGGGTAGTGAAATACAAATTCATAAGTTTTTGAAAGCAAAGACAATGGAGTTTCTTGTTGAAAATTCATAATGCTTCAGCAGACCTCATTACAGAAGGAAATAAGCTTTTTATTAGTTTTTTGTTTGTTTTTGAGACAAGGTGTTGCTATGCAATTCAACAGCAATACTTCCTGCCTCAGCCGCCTAAGTGTTGATATTACAGGCATGTGCCATCACCCCTGGCCAGCTTTTTGTTAATTAAGCAAGTAAGGACTGAGTTAAAATAGTAAGAAATATGTTTATCAGTAATTAGAGCCACTCCAGATTCTGGCACAAATAAATAACAAGAGTAATCTTTGTCGAATGTCAGAGTTCTTTATCATGTTTAGGTTTAATGAGTTAAAAAATTAATACCAGAATTTTGGTATGCATTCATTTTTGAATGGGGATTGCACTCAGGACCTTGCATTTACTCAGGACCTTGCACTTGGGAGGCAGGCAGGTGCCACTGAGCTAAATCCCTGGCCCATGAATATTTACTTTTCACATAAAGTAGAACAAATTTGATTATATGCTTGTACATATGTTTTTCAGGTTGCCTATATGTATATTGCTTGAAAGAAAATTGGTTATCCACAAATAATACTACAGTACTTTTTTTTTTTCTATGCAGAAATGGAATTTCCTTCTTCTTTGACCAGTACTGAAAGAGCTTTTATTCATCGACTGAGTCAATCTCTTGGTTTGGTCTCTAAAAGTAAAGGGTGAGCTGATAGCCTTTCTTACTTTAAATAAGATTATTTACCAAAAAGTATAAATGTATCTTCCAATGTTTAAATTGTTATTACAATTTTAGTTTCTTATTCTTAATTATATTGTATGTAGATAAACTCATTCAGGTCTGTACCAAGTTTAGCTTTTTCTTTCTTCCTCCAGTCACCCCCCAAGGGCAAAAAGCCCCCCAGAACTGTGAGTACCAGTACAATTTTGTCTTCCCATCTTAGGTTCATTGCCATTAGGCTGACAGAAGATTAACAAGAGAAAAACAAGTTTATTAAAATGTTGATCACATAGGCAAGGGAGAACTCAGTGATGAGTAACTCCAACTTGGGGCTTCTACAGCATCTTTTTTTGTTGTTTTGTTTTTTTGGAGGGGTGCTGGGGATTGAACTCAGGACTTTGTGCTTGCAAGGAAGGTGCGGTGCCACTGAGCTAAATCCCTGGCCCTCTACAGAATATTAATAAAGAAGAGTAACTGTTCAAAGGTGAAAGAGCCTGGCATGGTGTCACATGCCTATAATCCCAGCACTAAGGAGACTGAGGCAGGAGGATCCTTGTCTCAAACCCTCATTTCCTCCAGTCTTTTTTTCAAGACAGAGTCTCAGTTTGTAGTTCAGGCTGGCCTTGAACTCACTATGTAGCCAGACTAGCCTGGATCCTCCTGCCTCAGCCTCCCCAGTGCTGGGATTACAAGAGTGCGCCACCATTCCTGGCTTAAACAAACAAACAAACAAACAAGCAAAATATATATATTTAGTAGAAATGATTAAAATAGAAGAAGATAAAATAGTGTGTGTGCATGTTTTTTATTTTATTTTTTTTTAGTTTATGATCTTAGAGGGAAAGCCATTTAAGCCATCCAAAGAACTCTAAAATTCTGTGGAACTATACTTGTGTGGTTCATAATGGTGTTTTGGTCAGTGACAGACTATATTGGTGGTCCCATTAGATTGCATTGCTTAGTGATTTTGTGGCCTTAATTTGTGTAAGCACAATGAATGAAATTGCCAATTTCCTAAAGATATATTTGTCAGGACATATCCTAGTGTTAAGTGATAGGTGGCAGGTGTATTTCATGTTGGAAATAGCGATAGTGGTATCTATGTGGAGCAAAATTGCTCAGTATTGGTGCTGTTGACATTTTGGTGTTAAAATTCATTCATTTCTTCATCCATCTATTATCATTTTGTCTTCTTTTTCTTCTTCTTTTTTTGGTACCAGGGATCAAACTAGGGACCTTGTGCTTGGGAGGCAGGTAGCCAAACCACTGAGCTAAATCCCTGACCCTGTTTATTTAAATCATTTTGCATTCAGGTTAAACAGCAGTGTACCTCCTAGATTCCACTGACACTCCCATCCTAGTTGTGATAGCCCAAAATACCTCTAAACATTGCTAAATGATCCCTGCAGAGCAAAATAGCTCCAGATTGAGACCCACTGATAGGGGCAAAAAGGATAAAATTATAGCTTATCTGTTTTTATGTTGAAAAGAGGAAAAACACTTTATTAAGAAAATATTAATAAAAACATGGTACTAATGTGAAAGTAGCTGATATAGAAATGTCTTGCGTATATGTTTTCTAAACTTGTAGCAATCCATTTGGTCTGATTAAACTGGCATGAGGTTAATAAGTCTTTACCTTGGTGTAAATATTTGTACATTTTCTAGTAGAAATACGTGACTGAAAAAGATGTCCATCTTCTTCTTCTTAGGAGTACTATATAACATATTGTAAATGTACCCTAAAAACTACCTAGACTCTGAAAGATACGAATCTCAAGACATGTTTGGCCCATATATTTTTTGATAGATCCTCTGTTTTCACTTCCAAGTACAGCAGTTTATCTATCTAGTGGACTATGTACAAGTAATATGTGTAGGCTCAGGAACCTGACCACTGTTGTAGCACTGGCCTTAAAGTTGAAAACATTCACTGACCTAAACTAAAAATCCCCTCAGGCAGTAAAGTGGCTATTAATGAATTGTGTTGCTATAGACATGGATATGTATGTATCACTGTAATACAGTGTCTTCAACTGTTTTGGGAAGATACCTTAAAGGGGACTAGCTGGTTTAAATGCAATTTCTTGTTTTAGTTTTTTGAGGAATCTCCATACTATTTTACTTATTGATTGTACTAGTTAATATTCCCACCAACAAGAAAGTTCCTTTTTCCCTTTATTTTGGTCAGTATTTGTTTTGTTTTGTTTTCCTTTTTTTTTTTGGTACCGGGGATCGAACTCTGGACTCTGCACTTTGGAGGCAGGCAGCAGCACCACTTAGCTAAATCCCCAGCCCCAATTTTCTGATTTCTTCATGATAGCCATTTTTTCTGGAGTAAGATGAAATCTCAATCTTGTTTCATTTTTTATTTTTTTATTTTTTTTAGCTTTTCTGGGTTTTATTTTTTTTTAAATTTTTTTTCTTCATGGAGTTTATTGGTACATTTTAGGTATACAGTACAGTTACATTCATTATTGGAATCTTGTACCTTTACATGGCAGGTCTTGGTTCTCATTTTTTCCCCTGGTCCCTGCCCTCACTTCACCCCCCCCTCCATTTACAAACATTCTATTTCCATTTTTTCATTTTCTCCTCTTTTTTTTTCTTTCCCTTATTACCTTTCCCCTACCCTTCCCACTTTCCCTACATCTTTAGCCCTTTTGTTCCTATTTCACATTGTCATTTATCTCATTAGGATCTTAGGCACTATTATAGTTTATTCATACCAGAGAAACTATTTGGTATTTACACATGTGTGACTTATTTATTTCACTTAGGAGTATATCCTCAATATGTATCCATTTTCCTATGAATGAATAGAATTTCTCATTCTTTATGGCTGAGTAGTATTCCATTTTATAGAAAAACCACATCTTCTTTATCCAGTTTCCATCTGATGGGCAAATGGGCTGTTTCCAAGTTTTAGCTATTATAAACAGTGCCGCTATAAACATAGGTGTGCATATATCATTCTGATATGATTCTTTTAATTCTTTTGGAAAGATACCCAGCAGAGGGATGGCTGGGTCAAATGAAACCTCTAGTCCCCCTCCTCCTGGGTAGGAAGAATCAACATAGTGAAAATGGCCATAGTACCAAAACTGCTATACAGATTCAATGCAATGCCAATTGAAATTCAACACTATGTTTCACAGAACTAGAAAAAATAATCCAAAAATTCATTTGGAACCAGAAAAGACCTAGAATAGCAAAAGCCATCCTAGGCAACAGACACATGGCAGTGGGTATAACAATTTCCAATTTGAAACTATACTACAAAGCTACTGTGATAAAACAGCATGGTACTGGCAAAGAAACAGACCTGAGGATCAGTGGAACAGATTGGAAGACACAAAAACAACTCCAGATGTACTTAGCTACCTCATCTTTGACGAAGTAGCTGACCATCCCCCTGGAGGAAAGATAGCTTCTTTAGTAAATAGTGTTGGAAAAACAGGATCTCAACCTGCCAAAGATTAAAACTAGACCCTTATCTTTCACCATGCACTAAACTAAAATCCAAGTTGATTAAAAATCCAAATATTAAAACAGAAACAGTAAACTTGCTGGAAGATAAGTTAGGCAGAACTCTGGAAGACATTGGCATAGGAAAAGACTTTATGAACAAATCTTCAGTAGCATGGGAACTAGCAAAAAGAATCAACAACTGGATTCTCATGTCATTAAAAAGCTTCTGCACTGCAAAAGAAACCATCAACAGAACTAAACAGACAACCTACAATGTGGGAAAAAATTTTTACCAGCTGTCCCTCAGACAAAAGACTTATCTAGAATATATAAAGAACTCAAAACAATCAGCCCCCCCAAGTATAAGGACCTGATTCAAAAATGGGCATATGAAATGAACAGACATTTCTCAATGTTGTTTTAATTTGCATTTGCCTCATGGCCAGAAATATTGAACATTTTTTCATGTATTGTCCATTTGTATTTCTTCTTCTGTGAAGTGTCGTTCATTTTTGTTGGCCCAGTTTTTGATTGGGTCTTCTATTTTGGAGGTTCTAAATTTTTTTAGTTCTTTATATATTCTAGGTGTTAGTCCTCTGTCTGAGGAATAGCTGGCAGATTTTTTTCCCCTTTCTGTGGGGAAAAAACTTTTGGGTGTTTCCTTTGCTGTGTTGAAGCTTTTTAATTTGGTAGGATCTCATTTGTCGATTCTTGGTGTTAACTCTTGTGCATTTGGGATTCTGCTCAGATAGCCTATATTTCAAGAATTTTACCCATTTTATTTTCTAAAAAATTATGTGTTTCAGTTTAAATATTTATGTCTTTGATCTGTTTTGCTTTTAGTTGAGTACATGGTGAGAGATAGGGCCTAGATTTAGTTTTCTGCATAAGGATAACCAGTTTCCCAGCACCATTTGTTAAAGAGGCTGTCTTTCCTCTGACGTAAGTTTTTGGTCCCTTTGTAAAAGTCAAGTAGCTGAATGTACTTGGAGTTGTTTTTCCATCCTCTGTTTTGTTCCATTTATCCAAAATTTTTTTTTTTTTTAATATTATGCTGCTTTTGTCATTGTAGGTTTGTAGCATAATTTAAAGTCCGGAGTTGTGATACCTTTTGCTTTGCTTTTTTAACCCAGGATTGCTTTTGCTGTCCTACCATTGATACCTTCTGGTTCCATACACATATTAAAATTGTTTTCTCTGGTTGTGTGAGGAATGCTATTAAGAGTGGACTAAATGTGTACAACAGTTTTTGGAAGTATGGCCATTTTGACTATATTGGTTCTGCTTGTCCAGGCATGGGGCTATCCATTTTCTGATCTTCCAGTTCCTTTTTCAGAGAGCTGTAATTTTTCTTGTAGAGGTCCTTCATGCTCTTGGTTAGGTTAATTGCTAGGTGTTTAATCCTTCCTTCCTTTCTCTCTCTCTCTTTCTTTGTTTTTTTTTTTTGAAGCAGGTTCTCATTGTGTAGTTGAGACTGACCTGGAACTCACTATGTGTAGCCCAGGCTGGTCTCAAACTCACAGTGATCATCCTGTCTCAGCCTCCCGAGTGCTGGGATTATGGGTGTGTGCCTGGTTTAATCCCCCCCCCAGTTCGATACCAGGGATCGAACTCAAGGTCTTGCACTTACTTGCAAGGCAGGTGTGACACTACTGAGCTAAATCTCCAGCCCTAATTTTTCTTGATGCTATTGTGAAAGGTATTTTTTCTCTAATTTCTTTGACTTTGTATCCTGCTAGGCAACTGAATATGGTTATTCTAAGTGTCTTTTGCCTGAATTTTTGCCAGTCCCTTCACTTAGGAGACCTGTTTTCTTAATGGTAAAGTTTAAAGGGGTTACTCTTTGCTATTGCTTAAGATTTTATAGTTTGGTTTGGGCTTCTTTGAAGATTTTAGAAAATAGATCTCAGTCTTCTGTTTTGATAATTTATATATTTTTTCTTTTTGCTAGCCTTTCTTTAAAAAATGAAGCCACCATGTGTGATGGATTTCTTTTTCATTTTCTCCTAATAGGTTGAATTTAGTTTTGATTATTTTTATAATTGCTCTTCTTTTAGTGAAAATATTCTTGGAGTAATACCCTACTTTTGTGACCTTTAGTGTAAGCTAAGGTTTTCTTTGAAATTCTTGTCAAGTTTCACATATAAAAATTTCACCTCATAATTTGTTTGCTTTTATTCCTCAGTTGAGGTCACTATGTTTTAATACTGAGAGCATACTTTTTGAATCTTTGGCTTGTTTCTATCCAAAACATAATTGCTGTCCTATTTTGCTTATTCCAAATTAGACAGAATAGAATTTACAAATAAACTTCATTAAAAATTTGTGAAATGAGAAAGTACAAAGTATGTGAAAGTAGGTTTTCTGAGTTCATGTTTCTTATCCTGAGACTGCCAAAGTCACTACTTCATTGGTACTGAAGTACTCTTCTAACCTCTGAAGGCTATATAGCACAAGAAAGACCCTGTTTTCCTATTTAGGTTATTGTCTCCCTTACTTCCTATTTGAAAGGTTTCATACCTCCCCTTTCCCCCAGCTAAAATAGTAAAATGGATTTAAAGTAATGAACTCATTAAATTTTTAGATATCCGTTGAAAACAAAATCCTTCAGTGTCCAGTGATTATAACAGTCGCCAGCATTTAAGTACTGTTATGCAACAGGCATTGAGCTAGATGTTTAACTGATTAACATTAATACTTCATAGCAGTTTTTTAATAAAATGGATTCTGTTAACATCTGATACTTGTATTACAGAGGAAGTAGTTAAAGCCTAGAAATGTAAATTAATTTTTCTAAGATTACAAGACTGACAAGTGTTGGAGTCAGGATTTGAACACTGTTAATGTTTAGCTAATTATTTTTATGGTTTTTTGTAAGTTTATAGTAGTATTCTGGGTCCTCTGAGGCTTAGAACAAAAATACTAGATAGATCTTATCTTCAGGTTACTTATGACCCTTAAGACCATCATATTTACTACATAGTGTGGTACCACGTGAAAGTAGCTGTGTTCCTTTTAGTGACAAAATAGTTAATTAGTTGGTTTATTAGTTTCTTGTAGTTATAAAATTACAGATTAGAATGATGCAAACTCTAGAAGTAAATTGTAATTTTATATTACTATATTGGGGAGAGCATGACCCAGAGCTAGATTTTGGCATTTATTGGCCTAATGGAAATGTAAGTGGAGATACAAAATTAAGTATTTTGTTTTTTAGGGACAGTAACTCTTTAGTGGCTGTCAACTGTAAGTAGTCATTTTCTTTGAGTCATTTGAGTCTTGATCTTTTATTCTCACACTTGGAAGTAGAACATATTAAAGCATATGATTATTGAGTTAAAATTCAGTAACATGCTCAGTAATTGACAAATTAATATAAAGTTGTACTAAATTTGATTATATTATAGTTTTTCTTTTTGAGGGTGGGGGAGAGTTCTAGGGACTGAATCTAGGACTAAGCCTGGGCTTAGTTCCAACATTTACTTTTATACTTAAAAAGGCACATATAGGGATTGCATTTTATTAAAAATTCTTGGGCAGTTTACTTACCTAGTATGTTTTCTACATGTTCGGCTAGTTTCTAGTTAATTATGCTTTGGAAAGGAAATCTTTAAGTGTTTTGCTAACGTGTAGTGTTAGTCACCTTAGAATGATATCATATATTGTTGACGCTATAGTGCTGAATGTAGTAGGAACAAGCACTAGTAGTAGGCAGAGGTTGAATCTTTTACTAAAACAAACTATCTGGTTGATGTTATCTTTCTGCCCTATCACCTGTGCTGAATGAAGTCAGTAAATTTTAAATGGTAATCACTTTGTACTTGCTTAATATGAATTTTTTATGCATAAATATTATATTAGGCAACTTGGGTTAATAAAGTTTCAATTGAATCCATTTTGTCCATGGGCTTGTTGAGGAAGGAGTATATTTTAGTTTGTAATCTTAGCTTTTTCCCTGGTATCTCACAGAAGTAAATGCTCAGACAATATATGGTAAATAATCGAATAAATAAATAAAAGAAAATTAGTTAAAGGTGAATTTTTAAAAAAATCTGGAGTTGCTAGGTGGATCAGAGACTTTATTAGCTAATGTACATCGTTAGAGAAGTAAAATCATTTAATTTTGGTCATATAATTAGTTGAAAGAGTATTACTAGATGAACACTAGTCAGCTGGTTTTTGATTTAGTAGTCACTTTTTTTTTAATTGCATTTATTGGTACAATCTAGGTATACAGTACAATTACATTCACCATTGGGATTCTGTACCTTTACATAATAGGTCTTGATTCTCATTTTTCCCTTTGTCCCTGCCCTCCCTTCACCCCCTCCTACCCTCTTCAGTAAACTTTTGTGATTTACAGAGAATGATGAATCTGTAGCAGTTAATGTGAAGTTTCAGAAAGGTCCATAGGAAGACCTGCTACAGAGAATATCTCTAGAATTCAATAATTTTGATTTATCATGGAAATAAGTTAAATTTTTAGATGTCACATTTTAACTTTTTTATTTCATAATTTAAATCATCACTGAGCACTTACAGAGTTGATACATGGAAAGATTTCATTAAAGAAATTCATTAAGGAATATTCAGAAATTAAAAATCTCGCTTAAAAGACATATAGATAGAATTATATAAGTTAATTTCCAGTTCAGTACTATTCTTTTTTTTTGTCCTATTCTTACAGTGAAGATATTGTTGATATATTTCAATCTAATGAAAATCAGAAAAATTATAAAATTTTACTTTTAATTTTCATTATATTTGTGACTGTTGCTCTTTTTTTAATACCTTGTATGATAACAATATTAACAAATTGTAAAACATTTTATGAAATGGTTGGATACTCTTTTTGAGTTTAAGAAATGATATTTTTCCTGATTATAATTGTAATAGCTTCACTTATTTGGAGCTTATTCTGTAAGAGTTGCAATACTTTGCATAATGCCATCTTAAATATATGAATCGTCCTTTGAAATATGTATTCTTTTTATCTTAGGTTCAGGACCATTAAATAATTGGCTTACAGTTTCACAAGCTAGTAAATAGTAGAATTGGGATTCAAATTCTAGTCTGTGTGCCTTCACAGCTTAGCTGTTAACCAGTACTACATTGCTAGATTAGAGATACATGTTACTAATCAAAACATTTGGAAGTTGCTTTGTGTGTAACATTTTCCCTAGTGAGCTGCAGAAGCCATAAAAGACACAGTCAGGTCTATATTTGTTGAAATATAACATGAATAGTTATATTCAAATAATTTTAATAGTTTAGGTCATCATTACCTTATAACTGAAGAATAGAGTCTGCAGCTATGTAAAATTTCTTTTATTAAAAAAACAAGTACCTTAAATGGTTGTCAGCAATGGAGATTTATGTATTTTTTGGTCCAGCCACTAAAACTGGCTGTATTAACAGGTTTTCATGGGAGTGTGACATTAATCAATATACGATGGAAGCATTTAGTGGAACATACTAAAGAGTCAACCATAATTTTTTCATTATTATTTTTTGTTTTTTGTTCAGAGTCTCCCCAGTATGTATTAATTAATTAATTAATTGGTAATGTTTATCTACCATGAAGTTTGCTAAAGACAAACTTTTAATGGTTCTGGGTAAGTAAGCCTTTTTGCTTATTTAAAATTGGATTTGCAGAATTTTGAAATTTTAATTAAAAAGTCTCATGGCCACTTGAGCCCAAAGTCTTTCTTTATAGAATTTTTGGGATTTTTAGTATCTTATCCTGAAGCATTTTGATTTTTTTCAGTGTTTTGCTTGAGACATTTTCTAAGTAGGCATACATCATGTAAACAAATTGACTATAGTAAATAAATGATTTTTATTAATATTCAGAAAGGGAGCAAATAGATACCTAACTGTGAAGAAGAAAGATGGATCAGAAACAGCTCATGCAATGATGACCTGTAATTTGACTCATAATACAAAACATGCTGTTAGGAGCCTAATTCAGAGATTTCCTGTCACCAATAAAGAGCGTACTGAACTTCTGCCCAAAACAGAAAGAGGAAATGTGTTTGCAGTTGAAGCTGGTATGTATTTTCTGGGGGAGTCTCCTTGTTTATCCTATATTTGATGACTGTTCTTTTTCCATTTAAATTTGTTTTAAAAGACTAATATGAAATGAAGTAAGTTTCTCAGGTTGAATAGTTTGCCAGAAATGACGAAGAGTTATGAAAGCTTTTGGAACAAAATGCAGTATTAAGGCATATCATGGAGTTCAATCAAGTGTGTTTTTTTTAAGTGTTATAATGATAGTTATTGTTTATAGTGCCTTTACTGTACGATGCAGTATACTAATCTTTGTGTAAGGCCTTATAGCAAACTTTGCTAGATAGGAATTTTCCTCATCAAACTGATTAAGAGTTAAATAATTTGTTCAAATATACTCAACCAGCCAGTAAACTACAGAGCTGGGACTTTACTCCAAAGTCTGGACCTTCCTATATTGCACTTCCATGATGCACTAATGTGTAGGATTTTTAATTGGACCTTTAGCTTCTGCTAAGGGATGGGGCAAAAACTTCAGTATGTTAAATTGCTCAATTTAATACATTTAGTTCATGAAATAAAGTTGTCATTTTACTATTTGGAAAAATAACTTCAAAGTTAGAAAAAGTTTTTTTATTGCCTCTAGTGACAATTTGCATATTGCCTGTTGGAGCAGGTGTACAACATGTAGAAAGTAGATGGTCTTAAGATATCAAAGAACTTGATAAATGGCACACTTTTTGACCTATATGGAGAATATAAAATATACTGTCCTTATTTCTACCTGCTTAAATAAATGTGAATGTTGTCTAAAAAATGTTCGATTAGGATATTTGTTTATTTTTAGTACCTAATACTTAGATGATACACATTATTTTATTGGGTCACTTGATCTTACGTGTATAATGTTAAACATATATTTTCCTTTTTTGCATTGTGTTTTCATATTCTATGTAGCAGTTTTTATGCATTATTAACTACTGTAAAATTTTCTCTGGCATTTCTGATAGCAACACCTAACCTGAATATAATTAGATTATAAAAATTGTTTTGCTTTTTAACACCAATTGATGGATTAATTTTTATTCATTTTTATACATTATGCATTAGAAGTGCTTTTGAGAGGTTTGCTTTGTAATTGATACTGACATTTCTAACATTCTATAAGATTAGCAAGTGTAGTACAACAGTTGAGGCATTGCTTGCTAACTTTATGTGGACTGAGAAAAACACTTGAAACGAATTACATGCAAATTACGATGCTAATCTGTAACACTTTTGATCAGTTTTTTTTTTATTTTTTAATTCTCAAAGAAAACCGAGAAATGAGCAAGACAAGTGGACGACTCAACAATGGCATACCTCAAATTCCAGTGAAAAGAGGAGAATCTGAATTTGATTCTTTCAGGCAGTCTTTGCCAGTGTTTGAGAAACAAGAAGAAATTGTTAAAATAATTAAGGAAAATAAAGTAGTTTTGATTGTAGGAGAAACTGGGTCTGGAAAGACCACACAGGTTTGTGTTTCTTTTGTTGTTTAAAGTAGAAAGTAAAAATTATTCCATGTTGTAGTTTTATATCATATTTATACTACATCTGTTTAAAACAGAAAAATAAACTTCTAGTGATTCTAGTGGTTATTTCAGAAATAAATTAGTGTCAGGAGTACATTTTGAGAAATCAGTAGAAAAGAAATGTTTTGAATTATTAATTATCTTTAAACTAATATGTTTGTTTCTTACTAAAATGGGGGATGGGTATAGTATTGTGGAAAAAATGTAGGTTTAGCCTTGGGTTGAAATTCCCAGTTTTTCCCTGTATTGTATGTGAAGTTTTAGCCTAGTTTTCTAACATATGTGAGCAAGAGTCTTAATTTTAAAAATGAGACTAATAATTGTTAGGGTGGAGCTTAGAGACAATTTCTGTAGAGCACTCTATATAGTGTTGTACATGTAGGAATTAAAGTAAAAGCCATATAACAAATACTGATACAAAGCTGACTGAAGAATGGAATTAACGTGATGGGTTTGACACGGATGCTTAAAATCAAAAGTACTTTATTTGAAGTTCCACTCTGTAAAAGGTTAGAAATAAGTGTGGCACAATATGACCTTTTTTATATTCTTTAACTTCCAGCATTTCAGCATCAGTATTAAAATTAACTTTCTTTTAGTACAGGCTCAGGTAAAATAATATATTTACAGATTTTCCTCTATGGAAAAAATGTGTTTTTGACAATTGCTTCAGATTTCTTTGATTATATTGGTTGCTTTCATAAACTTTGTCACTAGGTAAGGTTGTATATAGTAGAATGTTTTACTCCATTTTCTGTTGCTTTTTCTGAATACTACAGACTGGGTCATTTATAAATAGAGGTTTCTTAGCTAGTAGAGTCTGGAAAGTCCAAGAGCGTGACACTGGCATCTGGTGATGGTCTGTATTATGCTATGGTAGAAAAGATCACTTCGTAAGACAGAGAAAATCACCTCTCTTTTGGGTTTTTTAATTTAATTTATTTTTTTATTTTTTGGTAACGGGGATCGAACAGAGGCCTTTACCTTGCAAGGCAGGCAGTGGAACCACTGAGCCAAATCCCTGGCCCTAGTTCTTCTTCTAAGGCCACTAAGGTCATTGTAGGAGCTCTACTCTTCAGACCTTATTTAGTCTTGTCTACCTCAGAAAGGCTCCATCTCCAAACACATCAACAAGATAATTTGTTAATTAAGTTTCATACTTACAAACTTTTGGGGGTCATATTCAAAACAGAGAGTTTGTGAATTTTATCAGGTACTAGCTTGTAGGATTTAACCATTTTCACAGAAGAATAACTCTTTATCATCAAAACTTGAGCTTGTAAAACTAAATAATTAAAAATGCGATGATATTTTTAACTGATAACTATATAGATTTTTTTTTTCATCAGGAGTCTTGGTATGATTAAGTGAAATATGGAGTTACTCTGAAAGCCATCTGAATGTCTTTGATTACCACCACTGTTTTAGTATTAGAGTAAATTTTATTAAGTATTGTAGCAGTTTTAATTACTGTGTTGAATAGAGATTAAATATAGAAGTTTTGATTAAATATTTTTATTTTACTAACATTATAATTAAAGTAATTGTAATTATTTACAATATTAGGAACTTAATCCAAGCTTCATGCATGCAAGGCAAATGTTTGACGACTGAGCTACATTTCCAGCTCTTTTTATTTTATTTTGAGACAGTTTTTTTAAGTTGCCTAGGCTGGACTTGAATTTGTAATCCTGCTTTGTCCTCCCAGGTAGCGAGGATTACAGGCATGTGCCTCTCTGTCCAATTTAAATTATGTCTTTTATAGCTGGGGATTTTGCTCAGTGGTTCTACCACCTGGCTCAAAAGCACAAGGACCCGAGTTCCATTCTGGGTACCAAAAAAAAAAAAAAATTGTAATGATACTAGTATATTGGAATTATGGAATTTTTTTTTACAGTCATAATGGTACCATTATTATTAGGTGTGAAAAGATATTTTAGAATTTCATTAGTAAGTATTATATGCTTTCTTTTTCAAGAAGAAACTATTAATCTAATGGGTTTACATATACGAAATACTCTTCTTGGGGGCCAGGGATTTAGCTCAGTGACACCATGCCTGCCTGGTAAATGAAAGGTCCTGAGTTTGAAGCCCAGTACCAAAAAAACACAACCCCATCCCCCCCAAAAATAATCTTGGTGAAAGAGCTGAAGTAAAATTAGCAATGTTTCCACTGTCTGAAATATAAAATACAATAGTATCTTTGGCCAAATTCATCTTGTCTTTAATGGTATTAAATTTAATGCTTTTTGAATTTTTCTTTTATTTATGTATATTATGTAAAACTTAAGCATATGGAAAATATTTTTTCCACCCTCTGAATTGTTTTCAGAAGTTTTGAGTTAAGTTTCTGATTGGGAAGTGGTGTTTGTGCTTTTTTGTTTTTGTTCTCTTCACAGCCTTGATATAAATAAGTCTTAAAGCAAATATCTCTTTTTTTTTGGTCCCGGGGATCAAACTCAGGTCCTCGTGAGGCAGGTGCTAGAGCCACTGAGCTAAATTCGTGGCCCGCAAATATCTCTTTGTAATATTGATACATATTTTTAAAAAACAAATGTGGAGTAATGACATACATACATTTTTATCTTTCACTTAATAGAAATTAATTTTTTTAGTACCTAGAGATATATCTCATAAAAAAAATCTACATAGTATTCCTGAATATTTTTATAATAATAAATGTTTACATATGCTGTGTTCTTAATACAGTTGTCTCATTTTAGCCTCTCAGTAACCCTAAAACATGTAGATTTTATTACCTCTTTTTACAGATGGTTTATATAACTAGGAATTGACAGAGCAAGAATCTTACTTTTATATTGTACTTACTGTCTTATATTTCTTTATATACTTACTGTCTAATATTTCTTTGCATATTTCTGGGAGTTTTAGTAGGATGAATCCTAGCTGGGTAAATACCAGATTAAGAAAATTGTATTACAATTTTAGTAGCTACATTAACTAGTTATTACAAAATAACTTTAAAATGAGTTAATGTATTAAAATAGTGTTGAAAGTATTCTCTAAAGCTTGGTTAAGATGGATTTTTTTTTAAAAGTGTATATATATTTAGTATATATTTTACCTTTGTCAGTCTGATAAGCCAAAAATATTTTTTTCCTGTTGATTCATTTTTTTTTCATTGAGTTTATTGGTACTTTTAAAGTATACAGTACAAGGTACATTTATCATTGGGATCTTGTACCTTTACGTGACAGATCTTGGTTCACATTTTTTCCCCTTACCCCTGTACTCCCTTCACCCCCTCCCGCTTCCCTATTTACAAAGACTTTGTTTCCATTTTTTCCTTTCCTTGTATTGTTTCTTTTCCCTTATTTCCTTTCCCCTACCCTTCCCACTTCCCCTATACCTTTTCTTCCTATTTCCCATTGTCAGTTATACAATTTGGATCTTATTTACACTTTTAGTTTTTCACACTAGAGAAACTATGTGGTATTTACACGTGTGTCTTATTTCACTTGAGTATGGCCTCAATAAACAAAAAATATTTCAATTTGCACTTGTTTGATCCTGAGAGTTGAGTATCTTAGTTTGCTTAGTATCCATTTTTCTTTTGTTTCTTACTTATATTCCATTTTTCTCATCTATTCCATCAGGATCCTGCTTTTACTTTTAATAGTTTACAAAATATAGTATAATATTCTTCTTTATTATCTTCTACTTTTGGAGTACTTACCCTAGAATTAGTTTGCAGTGTACATTTGAAGCTAATCCAATTCACTTTGAAATGACACTATATCATGTCACAGGTTGTGTGTCTTAAATAACAAAGTAATACTGATGCTTGCCTGCTGTCCCTTATATTATTCATGTCATTCCTTTCACTTACATGCAGACATACATGAATTTCCCTCCCACCATAAACTGTGTATGTAAACCAAAGTAATCAAGTGCATTGTGTTATTATTTTGAACAAACTGTTGCCTGTTAGGTCCATTAAGAATAAGAAACAAGTTTTGATTTTATGTCCGCTTAGTTTTTCTTGATGCTTTTCCTTTCTTAATGAAGATCTGAGTTCCTGGCCTATATTATTTTTTATTTTCTCTCTCTTTTTTGGGGACATTTCTTGCTAGAGAGTTTACTGGTAACAAATACCATCAGTTTTTATTCATCCAAGAAATTATTAATACTTCATTTTTGAAGTATAGTTTTTTGTTTGTTTTCTTTTTCTGGTACTGGGATGGAACTCAGGACCTTGAGCTTGGCAGGCAAGCGGTGGCACCACTGAGCTAAATCCTTGGCCCCTTGCAGGAAGGATAGTTTTGAAAGGTACAGAATTCTAGGTTGGTGGATCTTTTCAATATTTTATTTCACTCTATTTTTGTTTGCCTGGTCTAAGAAGTCTTATCTTTGTCTTAGAAGTCAGAAGTAGTTACCGTTGCACTTCCATAAGTAAGGCTTTTTTTTCTCTGTCTTTCAGGATCTTTTCTTTATCTTTGATTTTCTGTAGTTCTAAAATCATATAGTTTTGAAATATGTCTTGGTAGTTCTTTTACATTTATGCTTTTGGATGAACTAGTTAATTAAAAAGAACCTGAGAGGCTAAGAAATATGTGAGAGGTTCTTTTTTTCACTCACATTTAAAAAAATGAAAATAAAAATAATTATATTTATAAGCTATTAAAATGACGAAAATGTATTTAGTCAGTGTGTTGGCAAACAACCTTTCTACTTTGTCGATAAGGATATATAATATTTTGGAGGATAATTTGATTATTTTTCTGTCCAAATTAAAAAATATGTATATTCTGAACATTATTTTTTTCCTTTTTTTTTTGGAGACAGGGTCTCACTGTATTAGGCTTGCCTTAAACTCACTGTATAACCTAAGTTGGCCTCCAGTTCGTGGCACTCTTCCTATCTCAGCTTTCTGCGTTCTGGGAACACATACTTGTGAACATTTCTGCTGCTAGTGATTTATATCTTTGCAAAAGCTTCACGACAGCATTTTCTAAACAGCAACAACATTAATAACATGAAAAATTGGAGATTCCTTAAATATTTGTTACATTATTTTTTAAATTATGGCACTTAAGGTGGCACATGTAGCTGTCAAATGGATTAGACAGATTTGATATATTAAATGAAAGCTACTAATTATAAATGTCATATACGGTAGTCACTGAATAAAAAACATGTTTTAAAATACATAAATATTCTGAATTGTGTAAATTTTCTTTTATTGGAACTGTTCATAAGAAACTTTAAAGTTATGGAGAACACTCACTCGTAACTGTGGGTAAGATTTTTAGTTTTTATTTTGAATGTTTAGGACTCTTCAATTTTGTTTAGAAAAGTTTTTGAAAAAAGAAAAAAAACTATTTGTAGTCCTAGGATTATAGGCTATTTTTGTTTTCTTTATGCTTTTTACTGTTAAAAAACAATTAAATTTTCATTGTCATTTATTTTATAGAGTAATTTGGTTTATAGAGATTTTATAGAAAATTAATGTTTTTAAACTACCCTTCAGGAACACAAAATGTTTCTTTTTATATCCAAGTCTTCTTATATGTTTTTAAGCAGCATTCTATAGTCTTTTTCATATATGTCTTAAATATTTCTTGATAAATTTGATTGTAAATGTTTTAGTTTGTTTCCATTGTGAACAAGATGTTTTAAAATTACATTTTTAGCTGATTATTACTGTTTACATAAGAGTTGTTTATATTTGGGCATGTTACAGAACTTTTTTTAATTCTACTGATTTTTTAGTTGGTTCACTTGGGTTTTGAGGTATGTAAAATACTTGTTCTTTTATACTTTAAAACTTCTGTTACAGATTCCTCAGTTCCTTTTAGATGATTGCTATAAAAACGGTATTCCCTGCCGTATATTTTGTACTCAACCAAGACGATTAGCAGCTATTGCTGTGGCTGAAAGAGTTGCTGCAGAGAGAAGGGAAAGAATTGGTCAAACAATTGGATATCAGATTCGATTAGAAAGCAGGTAAAAACAGTCCTGCTTTTTGTTATGCTTATGAAAGATGAAATATATATATATATATATATATATATTTCACTAGAAATACAGGATGTTTTGAAAAGTTAAATGATTATCTTTTCAAGTGTAATTCTATATTGAGATGTTAAAGTCATGTCTAAACTTAGTGATGTTTCAAATAAGTGGTTTGAAAGAGTTTAGATCAGGATACAAATCTGATTTTATAGTTTCATGATCAGTACAAGTTATTTCATCTCTTTGAGCCTGTTTTCTCTATAAAATGAAACTAATAAAACATATGGAACACAAGTTTGATGTGAAGTTTAACGCAAACAGTGAGTTTTACTGACTGAGTTACAATGTCATTGGTATACAAGTTGAATATCCTTTATCCAAAATGCTTTGAGACGAGATGTATCAAATTTTGGAGTTTTTTAGATTTGGGAATGTTGGTATGGTTTGTTCATTGAGCATCCTTAATCTGAAATGCTTTCAAATCTGAAACAGTTTAGATTTATATTTTTGAGCACTTTAGATTTGTGTTTTTTGATAAACGATGCTTAACCTTCAGTAGGACTAGAAATAGCATCTTAGCAAGTAGTACTGTGTGTGTGTGTGTGTGTGTGTGTGTGTGTGTGTGTGTGTATTTGTATATTGTAGTACTGGGGCTCCAACTCCAGGCATTACAAAAGCTAGGCAAGTTCTCTTATCTCTGAGCTGTCTCTCCAGCCCTTTTTTTTTTTTTTTTTTTTTTTGGTACCAGGGATTGAACTCTAGCCCTTGTGCTTGCAAGGCAGGCAGCAGAACCACTGAGCTAAATCCCTGGCCTCAACCCTGTTTTTAATAGTGATTAAAAATTGATTTCATTTATTATGTGCTTTTCCCCAAGGTAAAATGTATTTAAAGTTTTTTAAAAAAAACCTATTTAAAAATTTTAACAAAATGCATTAGTTAGTAAAATACTACTAGAAATAATGTTTTTGAGATTGTAAGGCATAAAATACATCACATAATTTTGTTAAGTTGTATATACCAGTACACTGTTACTTTGGTTATATTTATTCAAGTACATAGCACTAGCATTTAAAGTGATTATGTTTTAACTAGAGAAAATATTTGTAATTGTTTACTTTATTTTTTAAAAAGGGTTTCTCCAAAGACGCTTCTGACATTTTGCACTAATGGGGTATTGCTTCGTACATTGATGGCAGGTGATCGTACATTGTCAACTGTGACACATGTTATTGTGGTAAGAGTATTGCTGAATTTGTCATATGTAGCTCAGCCTGTATAACATTATATACATAGTTACATTTTTAAAAGTGGGTAAAATAAGAATTTATTTTTTAAATAGGCTAATATGATAAGGTAACTTTTTCTATAATTATTATAAATCAATATTTTGTATTAAATAAGAATATTCTTACCATTGGGCCTTTTGGGAGAAAATAAAACAAAGTAGTAGTTTTAAAGATATGTTTTTCATATATGAAAATGATGCATGTACTTAAAAGTTCTCCAGAAATAGTTTTATCTCTGTGCTTGGTCATTTGATCCCTTCTTTAATGTCATGTTTCCTAGTTGTAAGAATGTGTACTATTTTGTAGGCGTTCAACTTCATAGTTAGGTTGCTAAGTTAGCTCACGATAAAATGAGAATATAAGTTATCCTCTTATTAAAGAATTTTAAGCTTTTATCTAGTTTATATCAGAAAAACATGGGCTTTTAATAAGCAGCTTTTGGAAACTTACCCAAACTAAAGGATGCATCTGAGCCCTGATGCCAACAGAACCGTTTTAAATTGATTTTGTTTATATTAAAAAATAAGACAGGCTGGGGATTTAGCTCAGTGGTGTTGCTGCCTGCCTTGCAAATGCAAGGTCCTGAGTTTGATCCCTGGTACTGCAAGAACAAACAAACAAACAAATAAACAAACCCCCCAGTATTAATTTGCAATTTTTTGTAGTTTATGTAGCTTAATATTTTATTGGAAATACTTTGTCATCTATAGTAAATTGATGAAATCTGATTGTTTCCAAATTACTCATAATACAAAATTTTTGCTAATATTGATTGTCCATATTTAATTTGAATTAGTGTAAGTATAACACTGCTATTATTTTAAAGACTTGGGCATCCATGATGTTTTTGCTGTTTCATGGTTTTATTTCTGTTTACTGCAGGATGAAGTGCATGAGAGGGATCGATTTAGTGATTTTTTACTTACGAAGTTAAGAGATTTGTTGCAAAAGCACTCAACTTTGAAACTGATTCTTTCTAGTGCTGCTTTGGATGTAAATCTCTTTATAAGATATTTTGGAAGTTGTCCAGTGATTTATAGTAAGTTAAATTATCACGTTCCTTCTGTAATTTGTATGAAAAACAGTTTGGAGTTTAATTTTTTTCTAACAAAAATTATAATGTTTGAAAGCAGAGGACATCTATTTTCTCTTTCCTGTGAGATAGGGCTCATGTTTTACTTCTCCGCTTTGACCTTTACTTTTCTATCTATAGTTTTTGGCATTGTGTAGTAAACGCAGCTCTCTCATCTTAAAAGAAATAGATTTTATTTTGGCCAGATGTTCTCCTTTACATCCTGTCCTGTAGTGTCTTTCCTTTATTCTGTATTCCTTAAAAAATGAATCTACAATCCCATGTTTACTTCTTATTTACTTCATATTTCCTTCTTTAGATACTTAAGAACTTACTTTTGATACTTTTGATATTTAAGTACTTATTTTTAATGCTCATTTACTTCTTTTGATGCTTAACTTTTGCTATTGTTTAATAAAAACTGTTTTTGTCCCATCATTAAAATTTTTTCAAATTACTCTTCAAAAATTATAAAAGTTGTACACACGTTAATTAAATAATACAGGGATATAGAGAGAAAAAGTTCATATGTCCCTATCCTGTTTTTATTACATGTATTATGAGTTTAAAAGCTCTGTGGAAGACCAGGGATTTAGCTCAGTAGCACCACTTGCCTCACAAGCACAAGGTCCTGAGTTCGATCCCGGGAACTACAAAAACAAGCAAACAGAAAGCTTTGTATCTGTCCTTTGTTGGTTGGCCATGTTCATATGTATATGTATGTGTGTGTGTATATATATATATATATATTTTTTTTTTTTACAAAAATGTGCACATACGTAATATTTATAATTTGCTTTATTTATATGACAAATCATGTACATTTCTCCATTTTGGGCACTCTGGATCTAATTTATTATAACCAGCTGTTTTAGTATTTTATAATGTGGATGTACTATGACTTATTTAAGTACTCCTTCATTGTTGGGTATCAGACTAGTTCTAGATTCACCCTCGTCGCCAACTTCTACTATAAATACTTTTGTAAAGAACATCCTTGCATGTTATCCTGATAATTTTACTTTTACTTTTAGGTATAGATTTTTAAAAACAAAATTGCTAAGTAAAAAAAATACCATTTTTATTTTTGATAGCTTTTGCCATTTTACTTTTTCAAAATGCTGATGTGATTTCTAGTTTTAAAAGGTGGGGGCTACTCATGTGTGAACTTTTGCCAGTGTTGTTTTAACCCTTATCTAATTGCCAAGCCTAGTATTCAGATTTTAGGCAAAATATTGTACTTCAATTTTCTGTTTTATTTCTCATGGTCACCGCCCCCTCAGTGCTCAAAGCTCCTGCTCAGAGCTTTTCTTTTTGGCTTACTGCTTAAATATTGATATTTTTAGGGTTATTCCCTTGATCAATTTTCTTTTTTCTATTCATTCTTCCTTTTTTATTATGTTTCTTTTCTTTATTCCTTTCTGTTTCGTTGCACTCTGCTTACTATTGTAGATGCACATTTAATTTCCCTGAAAGCTCTTATTCATGCCTGGTTTCTGCTTTCTCTTGTGTACTGATAGCTCATATATATTTTTCAACTCACATGGTTTTTCACAGCTTTGGAGTTAGATATCTTATAAGCAACTCACTTCTAATATCCTCCAAACTGACTACTTAATCTACACAGACTGCTTGTTTCTTTTTCTTGTTGCCTGATTTGCTTAATTATACTACTGTAGACCTTTTCATCTACGTCATATACTTGTACATTCTTCTCATAATAGTTTTTTGGTGGCTAGTCACATAAAATCTGTGCATCTTTTAATTGAAAGGTTGTTTTGGCACCTCATGTTTGATATATGTTAAATCAAACCTCAACTTCCAGCCATTCTATTTCTCCTTTCAATTTTCCTTGTTACTACAGCGTAACGTACTTCTAGCTGTGTAAGACAGACATCCAAGAATTTTATTTGACACTTCCACCATTACCATCCTCCATATCCATTGTAATGGATAAGTTCTGTAAGTTTTGTCTCCTGTCTCAAGACTCCTCTCTACTTCTTTTCCATTTTCACTATCACCAGTCTTATTAAAAGTTTTGTCATCTGTTATCTGCATTTTACCATTGTTCATAGCTGGCCTAGTTTCATTTTAATTGTCTTTTTAAAAAAAAGGATAACAAAAGACAGTTTATTCAGGGAAAAAATGGAAAAGAAACAAGATAGATAGCTGCTGTGAGGTGTAAGGGAATTTCAGAGCTGAAAACCCCTCTAATTGTTCTTTAAATCTATTCTCACCCCACAGCCAGAATGTTTTCTGAAGTGAAATTCTGATGATGTTGAGAATTCTCCTGAGCTTAAATCTTTGAATGACCTTTATTTTATGACAAATTTAAGACCTTTAGTGAGATACATATTTCTGCCTAATATTGAACTACAGTCCCTTCTTTACTCTTTTGTTTCCACTCTTTTTTAAATAGGTTAGTCTTGTTAGGTTCTTGAAAACATCATACTCCTTCCACCACAGGGACTTTGCTTGTGCTGGTTTTTCTTCACTGCATACCCTTTTCCATAGAACCTAGTCTAGTGGTGGTGAAGCTATGTCACGTTTGCTGCAGTGGGCATGCAAGCCAAGTGGCCCCAGCAGCTGAGGATCAGATAAATGTTGTTTTTCTAAACTAAAACCTCTCAGTATCTAGGTTTAGTCGAAGTGTTGGCACTTTGGGTTAAATAAGTGGGTTTTGGGTGCAGTTTGGGTGCCTGGTCTCTAGAAGTTTTGTTTATTCCTTTTTCTTTTGCCTTGGTTTCTCCATGAGGATCCTTTCTTAATGCAGTCAATTCTATTACAGTGTCTTACGCTTTTCTCTCATAGGACTTTTCACAACTATTTTTACATTTATTTTGAATTATTGGATTAATGTCTGTCTGCTGTGCTGCTATGCCACAAAGTGGCAGGAAATAGTTCTCTTTCTGCTTGCCATTTGTATTCCTGGTACTTAATGTTATGCCAGACACCACCCTATCTGGTTAAACAGAGAAAAACAAATGAACAGCTGTGTAAAGTAAAAGCAGTTAATTGTCTATTTTAGACAGATGTCTATGAATCAAAATTATATTTAGAGGCCAATATTGACAGTCACTTGAACTCTGCAACTGGGTATTACTATACCTTGATTCATTAGATTGGTATCCTCATGTTTTTATGTGACCTATTTCTAAAATGCATGTTGACTTTTTAAAATTTGTTATTTAGTACAAGGAAGACCATTTGAAGTAAAGGAAATGTTTCTGGAAGATATTTTAAGAAGTACTGGGTATACAAACAAAGAAATGTTAAAGTATAAAAAAGAAAAACAGCGAGGTAAGTTTTTAATCAAAGAAATAAAAAGAAATAACCATTAAAAAAACTTTCGGGTCAGGGATTCAGCTCAGTGGCACAACTCCTGCAAGCACAAGGCTCTGAATTCCATCCCCAGTACTGGAAAAAACAAACAACAACAACAACAAAATGACTTTCTGAGGTACTGCAGCTTTATATTATGGAGGTACAAGGACACTTAAAAGTATTTTTCTCTTGTGTATAATTGTATAAAATTATGTTAGGATATTGTCCCACACATATCTTTTCATTCTGGATTATATTCCAAAGTTGTAATCTGTGGAGAAGAATTGAAAGTGACTACTAGAATTGATGGATTTGAGTGTGTCTGTGTCTGAAGTTTCAACTTGGGGAAACAAGAGTATATGTTGGCTGCCCATAGTATTTTGTCATAGATGGGAGTAGCAAGTGGAAGAGAGGGAGTAAAACGAATAGCATCTGAGCAATAATAGGCTTATCTTTCATAAAGATCTCCAGGTTTCCAAATCTTGATATTACGGGTTTGCATCTGTACTTTGAATGTAACATTATTTGCCCTTTTATAATAAATTTTACCATATCACAGCTTTCAAATTAAGATTTAGATTCTTTTTCTTTTAGCTGTATTTATCATGGCAGACCTATCCTTGAGCTTTGACTTCTTTGTTTATTCTTTATGACTGTAGACAAATTTCTTAACTCCTTAGGATTCTCCACTTAAAATATAATTAGTAATGCCTGTTTCACTGGGCAGTGATAAATTATATGTAAGTTGTGAAACTCCTAGGTCTTGAAACTTTTGAGACTTTTACATTATATCTACTTGTATCTCAGACCATGGACAGCGTGATACGAGTTTAATAAGTGATTTTCTATAGAGTGCTTTATGGATGTTAGTTAGATTGAAATAGTAAGTCTAGTATGGATAAAAATACTCATTTTTGTTTGTTTTTGGTACCTGGGATTGAACTACAGACCTTGAGCTTGCGAGGCAGGTGGCAGCACCACTGAGCTAAATCCCCGGCCTCAAAATACTCTTAATTCTGGACTTAATTAAACATAAACTTTGTACCATTAGATGAGTAGATGTTTTTAAGCAGTTTCATGTATCCTTATAGTTCATCATACTATGTTTTATTAAATATTCTTAATATTTAAAAATAACTGCAAAATAAAGCCAATTTTTATGTGAAACCAGATTCACTTAATTTTTTCAAACAAAGGAATACATTTTCAAAAGAAATTAGCTACTATTTTTCTTTGGTAATTTAGAAGAAAAACAGCAAACCACTCTTACAGAATGGTACTCAGCTCAAGAGAATACTTTCAAGCCTGAATCTCAGAGACAGAGAACTGTTCCAAATGTGACTGAAGAATATGATTTATTGGATGATGGAGGTGATGCTGTCTTTAGTCAGCTGGTAAGACTATGAGTTTCACAATAATATTTTGAATAAAAATGATATGGATTAAACAACACTTGGGACCACTTCTTCTTTTCTTCTTTTTCCTTTTTTTTTTTTGCACACTGGAGATCATACCCAGAGCCTTGCACTTGCTAAACAAACAGTGTACCACCGAACTATATCACTGGCCCTGAACATTCTTTTTAGAAAAATAATTTTACTGTTTTTAATATGAGAAGTTACATAATACAGACATGCTTACAGTTTTTAAATATCCATATGATTTTAACATTCAAATTTTAATGTGTCCATCATATGAACTGTACATGAATTTTTAAAAATACTTTGAAATATTTTTAATATAGAGAAGATCTGTTTGAGTCAATGAACATCATTCTAATCATGTAAATTAGTGATTGTTAAGCTTTTGCTGCACATTGTCACCCAAGGGGCTTTTAAAGCCCTGTGGATTCAGACCACCTATAGAGGGATTCTGACATATTTACTCTGGGGTAAGGCCTAGTATAATGTTAAAAGAGATTCCAGTGATGCTTTTTCTGATGTGTAGCTGGAAAAGGGAACCACTGGTATGTAGATATATTTAGTAGTATCCTATCTATCAGAAACACAATGTTGTGACTAGATCATAGTTGACAAGATTGTTCTTAGGGAAAAGATGAATGTGAAAATGAGATGTAGCATTGTGAGTAATGTTTTTAAGATGAAATGAGGAATTTTTGGTATAATAGTATATAATGTACTAATATGTTATATGGTTAGTAGTTCTTTTGGTCAATATGGCCATTTTTACTTTCTTTGCAAGCAAAAGTTAAGCTGTTCAATAATTTATCATTTTTACTTTTTTCTTAAAGTCAGAAAAAGATGTGAATTGCCTTGAGCCATGGCTGATAAAGGAAATGGATACTTGTCTTTCTGACATATGGCTACATAAAGATGTTGATGCCTTTGCTCAAGTCTTCCACCTTATTTTAACTGAAAATGTTAGTGGTATGTTTTGAATTTTTAAATTACTCTTACAGTTGTTTATAATAGAAGTATAGTTGAATTTAAAGTGTATGTATTACATTTTTTGTTCACAACCAATAATTTATTGTTTTGGAGTACTTATTTTAATTCAGATTTACAAATGTTATGGCTTATACCTAGATGTCCCCCCAAAGCCTCACACATTCATAGGTGGAGCTTTTCAAGAGGGCTGGGACTGAGGGTGTGTGATAACTAAATGGGTTTAGCATAGTTCTGTGTGTGGATGATGGAAACTGTACACTTTGTGTAGGTGGCACCAATCAGTAGATGTATAGCCTGGATGGAATATAAAGGGAGAGAGGGAAGGCTTGCTACTGCGGCTTTCTGCCATCCATGCCATGAATGGTTCTCTGTGATGACCCTTTGCCATGTCACCCTGTCTTGGAGCCAGCTGACTATGGACTGAAACCTCCACATACTGTGAACTGGAATAAGCCTTTGCTCTTTTAACTTGTGGGTGTCGGGTATTGTATTTTGTCTCAGCAACAAAAAGTAACTATGACAGCAAATGAGGATCTTCTTAGCATGCCATAGTAAAATCAGCAGGTATTACATTAATTACGGGATTGTTGACCCACTGTTTCCAGAAGAGTTTCGTGAGCTGTGTATATACATGGCACGTATTTACAAAGATGCTTTTATATATATGTTGTGCACATACAAATACTCATCTCTTCACCTTATCCACTGGGAAATAATTTTTATGGCCTCAGAGATTTGTCTTTTCAACAAAGGAAGAAAAAATGGTAATAATTTTTGCTTTAGATTATTTAGTAAAAGAAAACATTTAGTATACTTTTAGTTATATGGGATCAAGTTCTGATTCATGAGAACCTACTTTATGTCAGGTCATATTTTCAAAAATCAGTTATCCTCCTTTCGGTAGTTGATTATGATGAATATTGGTAAACAGAGGCAAATTTTAGAACACCATAGATAATAGGCAAAAGGCCAAATGAGTAAGTAGTCCTAGATAATCTGTACTGGAACTGATGTAGAAGTCAAGTAGTTTATCCCTTCACCTAAAGCCCTTTAACATTATTGTCATAATAATTGGTCTTCTTTTTTGAAACATTTTCTTTAATTAATTTCTTATTTTCATATTTGGCTTCTTTTTGTTTCTCTGGCTGTAATTTCTTAGTTTCCTTGGTAAGATTTATCTCTTTTTTTTCTGATCTCCAAATATAAAATGCCCTAGGCCTCAATTCTTAGACCTTATTTGTTTTTGCATTTACTATTTGCATGGATCAACTTTAAATAATTTCAACTATCCCTCAATTTTCATCTCCAGTACAAACTTCCTCAGTGACTTTAGTACAGTAGATTACTTAATATCTCCCCTTAGATGTCTATTAGGTTAGTAAAATTCTGTGTATCTTAAATAATATCTTTTAAACAAGTCCCCGCTTCCTTCCCTCCCAACCTGCTCTTTCCTTCATGTTTTCTTTTCAGCAAATAGAAGGATCTACTCACTCTTTTCTTAGACCACAAAACATACTTAAAGTCATCCTTAACTTTTCTGTCACATTCTGCATTGGCAAATCCTGTGGGCTTTTCCCTTTATAATAAATCCTGAATGTGACCACATAACACAGTTCTCTCCTGGAGTACTGCAGGAGCCTGATAACTACTTCTGTTCTTAAGTTACTGCAGTCTGTGTTCCATAGAGCAGTCAGATTGATCATTTCAAAAATGCCACTGGCCTGCTTTCAACTCTTCTATGCTTCTGATTACATTGTGAATAAAAATCAAAAGGCTTTTCCATAATGGGTCTTTTGACTCTCTTTTTTTTGGGGGGGTACTGGGTATCAAACTCTGGTCCTTGCACTTGAGGCAGGTGGCAGAACCACTGAGCTAAATCCCTGGCCCTTGGCTGTCTTTTTTATCTCACTTTCTATTTAGGGCAGGTGTCTTGCTTTTTTTCCATATATGTTGACATTCCCATCTTTTGGCCTTTGTTTTGTTGTTTTGTTATGCCTGGAGTCCCTAAACACATTCAGACACATGGCTCAGTGCCTCCTTCATTTAAGTTACTGCGTATATACTGCCTTCTCAAGCCTTTTCTAATCGCTAAAATTGTACCCTTTTTCCTTACCTTGCTTTTTTCTTTATTGTCCTTTTACTACTTGACATATTTAAAATTTTTATTCTCTGTCTCATCCACTAGCATGTAAATGACACGAGGGCAGAAACCTTGTCTGTTTTACTCAAATTGGGGTCCCCAGAGGTTCATAGTAAATTCTCAAAAATATTTATTCAATAACAACTTTTTTTTTTTTTTTTTTTTGATTCAGGGAGTTGAACTCAGGACCTTGAGCTTGCAAGGCAGGCGGGGGAACCCCTGAGCTAAATCCCTGGCTCAACAATTTTACTTTACTAAATGAAAACCATTTGAATATGTTTAGTGACAGGAAGTTTACTAACTTCATTGAAATTTTCTTTCAAATTTTGATTGTTTAAATTGCTCATTTATTAATATGCTGAAATAAAATCTAGACATAGCTCTTACCTTTTTCTACTTCAGATATGATAATGAAAAAATGTAATATGTATTTATATCTGATAAACTTTCAGGTATATGAAGATAGTTATTATTTTTCTTTGTTTTTTGAGGTGTTTGTATTATTTTAACTGGTCGTATTTAATGTGACATTGTAGATAGTCCTCTTCTGCCCTGTTCTGTCTTCCTTTGGGTATGTTTTGATTTATTCCTTTAAAAAGCATGATATCCAGTTCTGAGTTTAATGTTATAGGATAGAATGGTTCTGTTAGCTTACAAATATTGTTCTTTCCTTGTGTGAATTCAGTCTGTGATCAGTATAACTTTTTGCCAAAACATTATCTTACTGATTCTGATTGCCTTGAAAATCCTAGTTCTGCCAGGCATAGTGGCACACAACTGCAATCCCAGCACTCAGGAAGCTGAGGCATGAGGATCACCATGAGTGTGAGGCCAGCTTAGACTACAGAGTGAGTTCAAGGCCAACCTGAACTACATAGTAAGACCCTATATAAAAAAAAAATCCTAGTTCTTTTTTTGAGGGGTTTGTATTTTTTTTTTTTTTTTTGGGTACCGGGGATTGAACTCGGGTCCTTGAGCTTGCAAGGCAGGTCACCGAACCTCTGAGCTAAATCCCCGGCAAGTTCTTTTTTTAATTACATGATTTTAATTAATTCACCTGTTGTGTACTTGTTTTGAATTATTTTGAATTTAATATATTATTTCCCACCTTTTTTGGTACTGGGGATTGAATCTAGGCCCTTTGCATTGATGTGCATCCCAAGCTCTTTTCCAAAAAGAAATAAAAATTTTTGCAATAATGTTTCATTGAATTGCTAAGTTGCCAAGACTGTGCTTGTTCTACTTATGATCTTAACTGCCTCAGCCTTCCAAAGTGCTGGGATTACACGCGTGTGCTAACACATCGGACCCATTTTTTTCTTTCTAAATTTAATTTTATAGTTAGATTTGGCTCATTGTTTCTTTTTAAAAGCCCTCTTTTTTAAAAAGTTCTAATTGTTTTTAATATTAAATATTTTAGATTTATCGTTGATTAATAGTTATTTTTAATTGATTTGCATTTTGACAAGTAATTTGTTTTGCATTTGGAAATGTAGCTGTTTATCTCACTTCATGCATTCTTTATTTTTCCATTTAAAAACAAAGTTTACTTAATTTAGTAATTTTTAAGAGATTTAAAGTCATGACTGAAAAAAGAAAAACAAAGGCTAGGGATATAGCTCAGTGGTTCCAGCACCTGCCTCACAATCACAAGGACCCAAGTTCGATCCCTGGTACCAAAGGAAAAAAAAAAAAAAAAAAAAAAAAAAAACC